CCAGACCCCCTGGTCAAACACTTATCCCTCCCGTGCCTGGAACCCCGGTCTCGTGCCCAAACACGCACCCTCTCGTGAAGCAGAAGCACACACCTTTTGGCCAAGACACCACCGCCAATGGGGCCAAGCATTTGCCTGAGGACTGGCTGGGGGCAAGCAGCTGGGACACTGGGACAGGGCAGCATGGTCCCCCAGGCCCCACACTCCTTAAGGGTCACAAACGGGTGGGCACGCCATGGTGCAGTGACCATACCCACACCCTCCGGCCAGCCATCCACACCTCTGAATTACCCTACATTTATGCTTGGAACACCAATGTGGCCTTGCACAGCGACTGCCCATTGTTTAAACACACCAGACGCGACACCAAGGGCTCTCGTGGGCACCACAGGCATCGCCCCTCAGAAGTGTCGCCTCCCGAAGGGACCCTAGCCAGGCCCAGAACTCTCCAGCACCCCCAAACAGTCCGAGCCCCTACAGCCCCACCACCTATGGACATACTGTGGTCCCCGCTGGGTCCTCTGCAGGGCAGCTCTGACCCCCGTGGTCTCCTTCTCACACTCAAGCACTCTGAGGGTGTGGCCAGGTCTCCACCAGGTGACCGAGGCCAGGGTCAGGGAACCCCGCTGCCCAGACTGCCGCCTCGAAGGCCGGCCTCCTCCTCGTCCTGACGGGGGCCGGGCCGCCTGGCATGGGCTGGTTGCTAAGCACAGTGGGGCGGCCTCTGCCCGGTCTGCGAGTCTGTCGCCGCGAGCGCCTGACCGCCAGGCTGTACGTAGCTCCCTTGCCTTGCAGCCCGGAGCACAGGCATAGATGCACTCCGCAGCTGATCAGACACGGTGACCGAAATCCCTCGTCATTTCTAAGTCCTTCCCACCTAAGTTATCCGGCCGGGGCAGACGGCATCCAAACGCCGGGGGGACCCTGACAAGCCCAGAGCCCCGAGGAGACCAGGTTCCCCTGGAAACCACAGGTCCCCAAGGCATGTCCACCTTTTGGGGAATTTCCCTCAGATTCTCCAGCCCCTCAATCGACAGACGTTTCCTCCCTACGAGGGCTACAGGGAGGCCTCAGCCTTGAGACGTCGAACACACGCACTCAGAGCCAGGCCTCTCCTGCCATAGCCTCCGGCCCCACAAGTGGCCACCTCTCCCGTCTGTGTCGTGTGGGGCACACCCCAGGCCCACACCCGCCGTCAGCTCAGCTGGGCCAGGAAGGAAGTGATGGCAGCACAGCTCACCTCCCAGAGAGGGCTGGCCCACCCCTTCCAGCACCCGGACACCCCCGAGGACAGGGGCCTTGATGGCCACCCCAAGGCCAGGTGAGCTGGCCTCCACCAGTCCCTTCTGTGGCACTGCCTCTGCCATGGGCCCTCCTGAACCCAGTGTCATACTGGCCGTTCAAAGTGGCACACGTGGGGGAGGCCAGACGACGGCCTGCTCAGCTCTCACCTCCAAGGACATGGGACAGCCCATCACGGGACAGCCCTCTCGGCTTCCCCATCAGCAAGGAGAGGGCCGCAGCCCTGCCCACGGGGTGGGCACCTGGGATCGGGAGTGGCAGAGCCCCACAGGCGCCTCTCTGGAGCAGCCCCAGGGGCACAGCAGCCTGGAGTACCCAGACCCTTTCTGGCTCACGCCACTGTTTGGGGGCCGACTGGGAGGGTCAGGTCTAAAAGTCCAGGGCTGGTGTCAGGGCACTTCTGCCAAGGGAAGCCCCTGCCTCCGAGGGGCTCCTGGCAATGCTGCCAGTGCCTGGCTCTACCCTGGAGAAGGAAAGGCCCTCTCCAGGGGGCCACCCAGGCCACTCAGCCCCAGGCCAGGAGGGGACTCACCTCCCTTTAAGGCGTTAACAAACGAGGTGACGTCTGGTGCGGCCAAGTAGGGGATGGGGCATACCCTGGGAAACCAAGCCCTCGGCCTTCGAGTAGCTCAGGGTGGGCGTAAGGACGGTCTGGGTGTTGGCCAGTGACCACGTCTGACGGCGTGGCTGTCCCAGCCTTCACGACGCCGTGGCACAGCTGATGAGAGAGTGGGCCTGCAGAGTCCAACCCCGACAGCCAGCCCTGCTCCTTGGCACTGCCCCTCCTACCCACCCCCACCCAAGCGAGTGGGGCCACGTCTCCTAAGACTAGGCCATCCTGCTGGACACAGGAGCATGGGAGACTCAAAGAAGCCCATGAGAAAGGGGCCAAGGAGAGGCCAAGGCGGGCCGAAGGTAGGGCTGTCTCAGGTGAGGTCTTGCCCCGAAGTCCCCACACGCGCAAGGCAGGAACTGCCCCCACAGACCCACTCTGACTCAGGGATGCCCAGGAGGAGCTGACATAGGCCCAGCATGCAAAGCTCCCACGCCCGGCTGAGTTCTAGAGACAGGCTGGCCAGCTCGGGCCAGGGCTGCTGACCCAAAAGGGAACCCCAAGACATACTGCCAGCCAGGGACATCCACCCTGGCCACTGGCCCTGGGCCCAAAGCAGGGGTCTGCGTGCCGGCCCAGGCCCACCGTGCCCAGCAAGGCCGACCCGGAGCAGCCAGGGACCAGGACGGCCAGCGCCCCCAAGACGGCCTCCTGTGTTTCCCTCAGTCACTTCCCAGGAAGGGCTGGTCCAGAGCACACTCCAGGGATGCGCGGCTCGGCCGCTCACGGGGCGCACACACCCTCCGTCTGGAGGGCACTCGGCCTGGTACGGCTTTCAGAGCCCCCCGCCTCCGCTCCCACCCCAAAATGCCTTTCACACAAGATGGCGGAGTCCTGTCTTTCCCCCTGCCTGGTGGAGCAGGGGTGGAGAACGAGCACCCTCGCACACAGGCCACACTCATACGCAGTGGCTCGTGCAAATGCCACACGCAACACCCTGAGCACACGCACGCGGCGGTGCCCGCCCCTCCCTGGGCATGGGGCTGGGGCTCAGGGCAGCCCCTCCAGGGCCCAGATGGGATGGGTCAAGGCAGTGCTGAGCCGGGGCAAGGCTGGGATCCGCTGCCCAGGGGTGATTCCACTGCCCTCAGCCTGGAGAGGGGGTAACTGGGGCTGGACCTCTGCCCGCTTCGGCCGCCCAGAAGTTCACCCGGACGGAGAGCGAGAGGCTCGGAAGGGTGGCGCAGAAGCGGCCCCTCCCCCGCCGCCCTCACTTGGCGACGGAGGCCAGCCCAGCGGGTCCGGACCCAGGGAGGACCCAGGACGCCCTCCCCTGCCAGGCCCGCCCTTTGTTCGCACAGCAGCAGTGGGGAGGGGCCTCTCGGGCTGAGGAGGGGGCTGGGGTACATCTCCATCCTGCGGGGGAGGGGCTGGTGCAACCAGCCTGGAGCCCCCCCACACACACCTGATCGGGCCTGGCCCCTGGGCGTCTTCCAGACTAATCTATCCAAAACCGCCCCCGCCGCGCAACCCCGCCGGCCCCCGGGGTCCCCGCGCCCGCCCGCACTCACACGTAGGCGTGGTAGATGAACGCCCAGCCGCGCGGCCGCTCCAGCACGTTGTACAGAAAATTCTGCAGCTTGCGGTAGAAGGCGTTGCGCTTGGGGGGCCTCCCGGCGCCC